ATAATTCATAAAGTCGTTGCACTCACACAGTCGGCATTTTCAGTTAAACGCGAGATTGTCAAGTTGACTGAAATTTTTCATGACATTCCGCTCACCTGGGACGCTATTGTCCATGGGAGTTCAACAAATTTCCTAGCTCTGGACCGGACATCTCCGGCCAGGATGTCCGACGGGATAAGAGCAGCAAAAGAAATTAAATTTACCCCGTCACGAGGGCACGAGGGTGCGGCACAATGAACCGGATGAAAGAATTCTGAATGTTGACCATCAAAAGCTACAAAGGAACAAAGGCGCTCGTGATAAGAGTCGCAACACGTCGCATACTCGGGACGTGTCGCAAAATAAAATAGAAATGATGTGATAATTCCGATTCGCGTAGCGGCGAAATCTTACTCTCTACGTTTAAAACTTGTACGAGTTTGGCAAGATCGAAAAATCGAATAACACGTTAAGATAACACGGTAGCGCGATAAATCGAATCGTCAGTTATTTATTCGGGTCACAAAATTTACAACGACAACTTTTTTTCAATGTCAATTTTCTGCCGTTTCAAAATAATCTCGATATTAAATCGCCGAGTTGCGTTAAATAGCGCGATAAATTTTCACCAAGACGAGAAGATAAACGGCATCGCGACGGTCGGTCGGATTTCTGTGGTATTTGGCGAGGATGCGGCGGGGACGCATTCGGATCGATGCGGCGAGGATGCCGCATCATCCGTAAGCGAGATTGGTCGGATCCGGTGGCTCGTTCGTGACCCGGGCCAGCTGCGACCTTGGCCCGCATTTCGAGAGGAGATGCAGCTGCGCGGTGTGGGCGCTACCATCCGAATGTGTCCACCGAGCGCGGGCATGCATACGTGATTGCAGATTACCACCGGGGAACAAAATTGCGTTAATCAACTGGCATCCAAAATGGCATCGAGAGCCATAATCGAGAAAATATTACAAAAAAAAAAAAACCAAGCGAATCGCCGATGAATCATCTAAATCGCCAGAACTCGAGACCATTTTCGGAACCAGGCGATCACGAAAGTACAGATTATAAAATTCTAGACTCTTAGGTAAATTACGATCGAGGCTTTTATAATGTATGTAACACAATTTGAGATGTGGTACACTCTCGAACACGCTTGAGTAATTAAAAACGCGCACTTGTGAACCTGTCGCGAAAGGTACGGAGCGGCGCGCGACAAAAAAAGTGCATCTGCATTTTTTGTAGCGTATTCCGGCGCGGCATTGACGAGACGTGTTCGGCGAACCGTGCGAATGAAAAAGCGAGCAAGGAATTTACCCAGGGAGAACTTTTCGAATAACCGTAACGCATACACGTCAAAACGAAGCCGCGGAAAACAAAGACGAGTCCGCCAATCAACGCCCGGGATTGTTCCAATCAAACGAGATAAAAATTACAGTCCGCCGAGTGGACGAGCGAACTTTATTTCTTTCGCGATATTTCCCTCTTCGGTGCGCGAATTGTTGCCTTTTTTTTTTTTTTTTTTTTTTTCGTTGACGCGAAGCGACATGACAAAATCGCAAAATTTGACCACGTCGAGATGACAGGAGAGAAAAGTCCTCTTTTTAGCGATTGGACATTGATTAAGTTCAATTAAACACGTGAAAAGCGCCTTCCTCTCTCACAATATTTAAGCAATGACGTTAAAGTCATATAACAAAGTGCAGATATAGAAAGTGAAACGCACACGTACGTACAGAGGATGAGGCATTTAAAACAAAACGGTGAAGTATCTCTGTTGTAAATCTAAATAAACGAAAGAACGACAAGAATGAAAATTACTCAGTCTAACAAAAAAAGTATATTGACAGAAAAATTATTATCTCCTTATCTTGTTTATTATTATCTTTGGTTCTTGTTTATGAGTTGCTTTCATCAATTTTTCCTTAAACTATATTTTTTCAATATTTATGCTAAACAGGATTTCAAGATACTTATTTATGTATCATTTATTTAAATTTGTAACAAGATATTTAATGCACCAGATTTAAAAAATATAAAAAAATAATTTGTATATATATATATATATATATGTGTGTGTGTGTGTAACTGCAGCGATCATGTGACATGAGAATCAGCTTCAACATTTAATCAACAAACTATTCCGAAGAAAATAAATGTACTAAACAAAATAAATCTACTAAAATATCTTCATATCATAACTTGTACTTTTCTTATCTGACGAGTTATATTTT